GCAAATGGAGAACACTTTAGAATGGGAAATGGAGGTTAAGTAGGTATTAAAGTTAAATTGCTTTCCTGCTGTAATTTTTGCCCATGTTTTGCAATTGTGATCCATAATAAACAGAACACCTGTTTTGTGTATGTGGATTGCCATCAGTGTGTGAATATGCGTGTGTATGTGTCATACTATATATCAATGTTTCTCAACCTTGGCAACTTTAAGATGTATGGACTTCAACTCCCAGAATTCCCCAGTATGCATGCTGGCTGGGGAATTCTGGATGTTGAAGTCCATACATCTTAAAGTTGCCATGGTTGAGAAACACTGCTCTACATAATAAAAGTACAGTAATGCTAGGCCTCTACCCCAAGAGACTTAACATCTAAAGTTTGACCCAGGAACACCATCAGAAGAGGAGGAAGCTGGTAGGAAGGGCAGTGGGGAAATTAATATGTACAGGTATAAATTTAGCAATAATCAATATAAATGCAATATATTTCACCATACTATAGAAGATGGTGACTGCAGTCTGTTCCCCAGGTCTGAATGGTTCATTTTAAGGCCTTTGTGTAGCCCTCTCTTCTGGGAGGGTTTGAGATTTAAAACCAGGTGTGGACAGGAAGTCCTTCAAGTAGATGCTGTCTTCAAACAGAATACTGTGTTCTGACTATTCTTGGAACAAAGGACTGTCTTATTCTCACATTGCATTAATGTATGTTCCATTTATTATTGTAGCCACAATAGTTTGGGTTTGTTGTGTGTGTATGATTTTAAAAAATCTACAGGAATATTGTTATTTTATTTTGTGCTACTTTCCAAAATCAGAAGAATATAGAAAAAAAAAAGGCTGTCATAATTATTAGGCATAGGTTATTATTTTTTTTCCCTAATAATATGACTAAATGAGTGGAACCTGTAATTCTGAGGGACTGCAATTTTAAAATATACTGTTGTTAATTGAATAGTAACTTCCATTCTTGTCCCTAGAAAGGGGAAAACTAATGCCTAATTTGAGACTAAGGGATTATAAACTACCCATAAAGTTGTTTTAGTGCAAAATCTAGTGCTGTCTTTTCTGTATTAATAAATGCTATAGAAAGCTTATTTAAAATGTTATCCATGTGATGTCTATAAATTTCAAGTGAGTATTAGTGATACTCAAGAAGAAGATACTTTGGGACTTCTTTGGTAAGTTTATGGGAACTAAATATGGACAAAAATTGGGGCTTTGCCCCCGGGTAACAAACTAGTGCCAGAATAAAGAACTTTTAATCTGTCAAGAGTGTCATTCCCTCAGAGGTCATCTGTTAGGAAGGAGCCGTGTGTAAACCCAAAGCCAATATAGGTGGGACAGAATTCACAATGGGAGGGTCACACTCTTTCTGCCTTCCCCTTCTCTGTCTCTCTGCCTATCTTGCTGCCTTCTCTAGCATTTGAACTGAGCGCTTTTAAAAACTGGGTCAAGGTCTTCATACAGCATGCATGTTACCCACATGCCTTTTGATGGTAATACAAGAGCTGTCAGGCTAAAAGTCCCCCTGGGATCGGTTGATAATGGGGAAATTAGCTCATCAATTAAACATCACAAAAGGCCAGCCCAGCTGGAGGACTTTCTCTCACCTAGGGTTACCAGCTGTCAGGCAAAAGGAGGACACATCCTCCTTTTTGTCCTCAGTCCATCAGGCAGTGCCTTAAAATCAAATATTGTCTGGCTTTTTGAGTATCTTTTTTTTTTAATTTTGGACTGTTTTCATAACAGTAGTCATTCAAACTTTGGTGTATTGTGACCTTGTAAATTCTCTGCTTCTTTGTTTCCCTTGTCTGTTGAGAGACTTGATAGCCTACATTTATGTTATTTATTCCCTGATTCCAGCAATCGGCTTCAATCCAGCCCCTTCAAATCTATGATCACTGTAGTTGGTAGATCACATGACTTATATATTTCTATGGTGAAATTTGAAAATATGTCAATTCTATGTTATCGCTAGCAATATTCTTGAAAATAAAGATTTGTTAGGAAAATCTTCAACTGAAAAACCAGTCTTTCTGATGCTGGAAAAAGTAATTTCATATACAGCACACGTAGGCCTGTAACATTTTTTTTGCTGTAATTTTTGTTGCGGATGCCGAGAAAGTTAAACACTATGTCTTCCTTTCCCCTCCATTTGTTCTCCTTTCCAATTGTCCGGGTCCTCCTTTGCCTGTTCAGATATTTGATAACTCTACTCTCAACAGGATTTCCTTTTAGCATGGTTTGAGATGTAAACAGGGAAGAAATCTGAGCGTCTATGAGCTGTCCTCACCAGTGTTGCCAAACTGTAACTCCAAGTAGCCTCAGCTAGTATGGGCAATAGTGATTGATGCTGGGAATTATAATCTGTGGAGGAACAGGTTTTCCCACTCTGGGTGAAGGAAGAAATTCCATCCAGCTGCAGCAGGGGGAAAAAAAAGTGGGGGGGAGCAAAACCTCCCCTCCTCAGCTTCATTGGCACATTTGTTCCCTTTCAATTCATTGTCTCCCTGAACTGTTTCCATCTCCCTTGATCATTAGACATTCTGTATTTTGCAGAACTGATTTTCCAGTCTGATTTTCTTCTCCTCCTTGTCCTTAAAAGTAAAATAAAGACAAGGAGGAAAATAAAATCAGACTCAGGCAGTTCTGCAAAATACAGAATATATGTCCTGTCTTTCAGTTTCAATGGCTGAAGCTATGCACTCTATAAAAATATTCCAGGAACTTTTTTGTCTGAACAGCAAGTAAAAATAGTATGTTAAGTATGTAAATTTTTAAAAAATGCAAATGTGTGTTTTCGGGGGACCTTTGACCTTAAGTAGTAGTGCAAAAGAATAT